GGGGGGGGGTTGAGGAGGGGACTCAGGGCCGAAAACAAAGTCAAAGGAGCGGCGAGCGGCGGCCCTGTGTGCCTCACACGCCATTGGGGGGGAACGTGCTCTGTTGCACCTGCACAGCAATCTAGCTGGCAATTGAAGGAACAGCCCCCGAATGGTCCCCCACGATGATCTCTTCCCCGCAAAGTGACCCAAGGGAGCCCTCAGCCGCAGGGCGGGCCACCTACTTCACACAGCTGCTCGGCGGGTTGGCCCACCCAGCTCGCCGCAGGCGCTATCAGCGTGCTACTGAAAACGTTGCAATGGGTTGTAAGCGTATAGAGACCGCCACGGGGGCGGCCTGCGCGTCAGGAACCTTAGTGGCGTGGGAGGACCTACTGCCCGAGCTGCTCAGGCCGTCTCACACGCAAGGTCCTGACCAAAGGCACCTCGCCTTGTCGGACTGCCGGACAGAGCCCCCAGGCTAGCCTCGTTTATCCCGAACTGTAAGTGGGTTCTCGCGGTTCTCGCTCTGGGCGCAGGGCGAGGCTTCACGCTTCACCCACTCGAATACAATGTAGTGCACGCTTGTTCTTGTGTGTGTGTTTTCGCCGTCCGGAAAGTTTTCCCTAGCCCGTCTACTGCACTCGAAAAGAGGACAGAGTGGGATGACAAATTAATCACTCACTAATTAACTCTTACTGTAAACTTATCGTCGTGAGTTACAGCTTGACACTTGACAGTGCTGTGGGTTTCGCTGTCACCTACGCCTCTCCTAGTGCTAATGACGGTCGCGTGACGTCTGCGCCGCGCTTGCGTCGCGCCACACTAGATGGCGCCAGCGCCCGCGCGAGCAGGCGGACTTCCCCGACAATGGACTGCTGCATCATCAGACTAATCAGACTCGAGGGCACCCACCCTACCCTGGCACCTGCTGCGCGGCGTTGCCACGCAGCTGACGTGCTTCGCGGTGGAGGTGCTATAGTGCTGGGTGCTAGGACACCGGGACGCAGGTGTCGCACCCGCCGCGGGGAGTCATGCGAAGTCATGCGGAAGCTAGTCGGCCGCGACCCGATGGCCTGCCCTGTGTCTCTTTTGGAGCACCACCGCAGCGCTTTGTTGCCGCCACATTTATAGCTGACGAATCACTGGGCCGAGAGGCGGAGGCGGAAGGCGGCCCTTTGTAGGCTCCGCTCGCCGCGCGCTCCGCCCAGCGCTCCACAATCGACACGCCCCAGTGAGCGAGCGAGGTGGAGGTATGGAGGCCTCCCCGGCGTAGTACTGGACTCTGGGGCCTGCCCGGGTGGAGCCTCTCTGGCGTGGAGCATGCTGTACTGGGTATGGGTGTATCAGAGCTGATGCTGTAGTGTTATGGGATTACCTACTCCCTCCACTCGTAAGTAGAGAGACCCGCAAGGCGTCGTATCACGGAGTGGTCGTATGACCCTTTCGGCCCAAGAAGGTATGCAATCCCGCAACACTGCAGCGTCCGCCCTGCCCGGTCCCTACTCTGGTAGAGCTGCCCAGGTGGAGCCTCGCGGCCCCGTGGAGTGGCCGTCCACAGACAGGTGGGGGCATGCTGGGGCACACTGACCTTCCCCGGAGGCCCCTAGCCTCAGCGAGCGGGGGCTCGGCGGTCGTCCAGGCTAGGCTCGCCGCCAACTGGACAGCGCGCGGCATCTGGACTCCGCCTCTCTCGATATGGAGAGATCCGAACGGGAGAAAAATGACAGTCTTGGGAGGCCTTCACGTGGATGCATAGAGGCGTCCCCTGTGGACTAGGTCCTTTTACCCTCGCGTAGTTCTCGCATAGGACGTGCGTCAGGGCGCGCCGGGCCCCGCACTCGGAATGGCAGAAGAACGCGGAGGTACTAGGACGGTGTTATCGCGTCCACTTGTGAATCACGTGCGAGAGATTCTCGGTCGGCCGTCAATGTGTGTTATTCTGCTATATTTTTTTCGTGTGCACGGTGCATGATTTTTTTCTCTGGCGATATCCGTCAACAGCACAGAATCGCACATTAGGCAAAAACGACCTCATCCAGGAGCTGACAGCAGCAGCTGACCGCGGCAGCTGACGGCCTGACTGCGCCAGACAGCTGACGCTGACGGATGCAACGACCGTGCGAACCGCGTGCATAAGGGGAGCGCGACATCCACGTGACCTGGCTGCGCCCGGGACGAAGAAATAATGCGCAAATGATTACTCCGTTGACAAGCACCTTAAACAGCGGCACAAAGACAAAGTGCAGAAAATTGCTCTTTTTTGCATGTTGCTTGTGGCAATCTGGCCATCGTCCTGGTAAGCGCGTAGCACTCACTCTCTAGGAGACGCGCGCCATTCGGCGAGGGAAGTGGGTCGAGCGATGGCCGTTCGCGACCAGACTTCTGATCAGCTGGCTCAAGATGGGAAGGAGAGGGGGGGGGGGAGCTCCACCCATCAGGCTCCAGGCCAGCGCGGCGCCGTCAGCCTCTCCGGACGGAGCCTGATCAGCCAAGTGTGCCAATGCTAATCGGCCCCATAATGCGATTTCCAATTTGCGATTCCCCAGTAGTGAGAACTGAAAAATTGAACAGCTGTCAATTCAACGACGAGTCGACCAATTATCGGTGTCGAATTTGTCACTGCGGGATTATCGTGACCTCGTTTCGGAACGGAGCATTCCGCGCGCGACTGCGAAAATTAAAAACAGGATCATACATAACTCTGATAAGAGTGTCGCGTACGATCTGAAAGTAATCCATCCGCACGCGAGCGCGACAATGTGCTCGTAATGAGCTTATCGGGCGCGTGCAAGGGAAGGTCGCGGGGGGCCGAGCCGGGCCGGGCCCCGCCCACCGGCAGCGCAGCGCAGCGGACGATAAGCATTTTATTACTTTATCACTCGCGGTGATAAGCGCCTTGTCTGCAGACCAGTGACGACGAGGTGTATACACCTCGTCACGTGTTGTTGTTCCCTTTTGTTTGCCTCTCTCTGCCGGTGCATACGGACGCGCAAGCGTTGCACCTCAATAAGTGAAGGGTCGAGCGCCCCTCGGAGCGGCTAGGCGGCTTGGATGGCAGCGGGCCTGCCCTATCGTTGGGGGAAGGTTCCCACAAGTCTGGAAAACCGGGAAAGTCCTGGAAAAAATATGATTCTAGAAAGACCAGGAATGTCTTGAATGTACCGTAGTGGTTGGACTGTCCTGGAAAAATCAAATTTCTTA